TGTCTTGTTTTTAGTCCATATATCTACAAATTCTTAAATCAAGAAGTATTTTCTAGACAAGCAAAACATATTGTCTTGTTTTAAGAAATAATATGCCAAAATGGAGTGAGTTTTTCTTTATATCAAGCAAAATAATCTGCCAATGGGGTAAGCGAAATAATCTTATCACAAATCGAAAAACAAGATTATTTTGCTTACCCCATTGGCAGATTATTTTGCTTGATTTAAGGAACAACTCACTCCATTTTAAGAAAAGCATTTTTTTTTTTGCAGTGTATAGCCTATAGCTAATCAATCTGTCAGATTCTGGAGTGTATTCAAGTTCTGAAGAAAAATATAAACGATAAATTATCTTAAATAAAACAAATACATTTATTGATATGGTTCGCAGTCATATAAGAATTTCACTCATATAGGAAATGGAGGCCACTTTAATGGTTTGTGAGCCCAATTAGGTGTACACAGCCTGCCTTATTGTCTGATAATTGTAATAAATGTTTCCAAAAGGTAATTGACTGTGTAAAGCCACATAAAACAAAACAAAAATATGATGTATATGCCGAGTTCAACAGCTTATCAGCCGGAATGGTGACGTGACGGCAAACAGCAAGGCCTAGCTGTCATTCAGGAGGCCACGCACTTAATTATGCAAACTTAATATAGCTCAAAATAAATGAAATTGATGAGTTATAAAAAAAATCATCCCCCTCGTTGTTGTCATGAAATGTAATATTAGCTATATTAACCAAAATAGTTTTTTGTAACAGGCTGTAAACATCTTTTTTCTGCTGTAAAGTTGGCCATTTTAACATTGTGATCAATAGGAATGTGCTCTGTTATGGAGCCAGGACTAGTGGGAATTTCGATGAATTTCAGTTTCAGTTAATACCTTTACGAGGGAGATTGGGATGTTGCCACTTGATACTAACATAAACTCCATTTTTAATCCATGGGCACTTTAAATGTGATATTTTTTTTAGCAGTTTTGTATTATGAGTACACAAGACATGTCCTCATAAACCAAATCAACATTTTAAGTTCTAAGTCATGACATGTTTTAATACAAATGAGTGTCCTCAAAAACCACCAAAAACAGTCCACACACACAATAATAACAACTTTCTCTCCTCTTGCAGTACTTGTTTTAAACCAAAGGCCGCATGCAGTCCAGTGCCGTTGGCTAATAAATAAAATGCTAAAATGCATGAATAAAATAAAATGAGGTTTAATTGGAAGCAACATTTAGGCTCACCCTCTCTCTCCAGCACCGTGTTTCTGGCAAATGGAGCAGTTCAAATCTCTCTCACTCCCTCTCTTAGTCAAATTAGCTGTGGGAGTCCTAGAGATCTCCTGTTAAAAAAAAACAACAACAGATAAGCCATAAAGGGATCCAATCATTCCCACGCAATATCTAAAGCAATATCGTGAAGCACCGAGTGTAGAGGACAGGTCAGACGGCAGATATTAATTCCTGTTGACGGGAGTCTAATGTGGCCTGGACATGTGAGTGAGGTGTCAATGACGCTTTGCCGTGGGTGAATGTTGACTCAATTGCTGATGATGTTTCCCTTTTAGCAGTCTTTTTTTTTCTCTCCTTTTACTCGAGTTGTTCAAATCATGCTATATTAAAAGGTGAGCGCTGCATTAAAATTCCTCCTCTTTTAATTACAGAGTTTACAAGGGAGCCCTGTGCTGATATTACTCAAACACGCTATTTTTCTTAATCTTCTTAACAATTTTCTGCTTCAGCCCAAACCGCTTAACATACATTGAATTAGTTTTACTCCATTCAAATCCTTGAGCACTTTATCCGTTTTGGCTTATAAACGTGAGGCTTATGAAAGATTTGAGATGGTAAAGTCTCACTTTGTAATTCAGAATGCAAATTTAACTGATTTTATTTGAACATTTCGTATTCAGAGGCTTTTCCGATTACAATTAACAAATGTGTTTCTTTTGTCTGAATTCCTTTTGTTTTTCTTGATAACTTTTCTTGGCTAAATTTTAAAGATTAAATACAGTTTTACTAACTAAAAAGATGTACTTACATTTTAAGAACTAAAACGGTTTATTTTCTGTCACAATGCTATGTGAAATATGCTTCGAAGTTGCTGGAAACACCACACGTATGCTTTAAAGTTGAATGTGTGTAGTAAAACCGAGGCATTAATTCACAAACACATCCAAAACACAGATTAAAAAATACTAGACCCAGAGTGCACCTTGATGTTAAAATGACAATAAAGCGTCAAAAATGCAAATCAATTTGATGTCAACTGACCTCCTTCATATCAAAACATTATCAAATTGACATAACATTAGCTATGCTTCCATCCAAAAATGTGCATTAAATTTATGTGCAAAACAGGAGTATCGCATAACAGATTTGTGAATAAAGCAGCGTTTCCATCCAACAAGTCAAAGAGAACAAAATTACCACCTCCTGATTAACTTGCACCAAATATCTAAAGTAAAAACAGAATTTAATGATGTAGGAGAAGCTGCATGAATCTTTTCTCTATTTAATAAATGACTTTCACTTCAGAAGACAATGCTGGAATGCAATAAACGCATGGTGGCGTTTGACGGCATAAGACCCGGAGCACAGATGCTCTTGACCTTTCTGGAGGTGATTAATAATATAATAACACACACAAGCAACATTTCAGATGATTTACAGTGTGCGCAGCCTGCTGGTTTGTCCATTCACACACTTTTTAATTGTCACATGATCTCTTTTAACAAAATTACATGACTTGTTTAATGTGCATACTGGAATTTGTTTGGTTAAAGTGTTTTCATCATAGTTTATGCACATTTTTCCTTATTGAAAAAAAAAGTTTATCCAACTCAGATATGTACGGAACCCCGGAAGGGACGTAGTGGAGGAGAAAAAAAATGGGTGGGTGAAAAAAAAATAATGGGTGAAAGAAAAAAAATGGGTGGGAGGAAAATATATATTTCTAAGTTTTTTGCGTTCTCTCGCAAAGTTTTGCGTTCCCTCGCAAAGATGTTTTGCGTTATCTCGCAAAGATGTTTTGCGTTCCCTCGCAAAGATGTTTTGCGTTCTCTCGCAAAACTTTTTCTCCACAAACACTTCCTGTTCACTGCACTCACGTAAACCCTCCCGTTTTTGCCGAAATTCTCCCGTATTTTACCATTCTATCCCACTTTCTTTACATTACTGTGCGTATGCTACCTATGAACCAGTGAATGCATGTATAAGCGCTGACTGACAGACGCGCTTCGTACAATAAACTGATCCCAGATCAGCGTCTGTTCACGCCATTTACAGAGGAGCGGGTGTATGTTTAAACAGACAAATACACTGAATAATATGAAGTTTCTAAAGTAATGGACTGCTTTCATTATAGATCTGTGCATTCTTACAGAGACACCTCTGTTATCAAACTAAACAAAACATGAGATTCATTTGCTGCGCACTTGTTTGATAACAGAAGTGTCCCTTTAAATGGCGCGTACAGACGCTGATCTGGGATCAGTTTATTGTATGTAGCGCGTCTGTCAGTCAGCGCTTAAACATGCATTCACTGGTTCAGAGGTTGCAAAGTGAAAGGCGACAATCAGCGCACAGTAATGTAAAGAAAGTGGGATAAAATGGTAAAATATGGGAGAATTTCAGCAAAAACGGGAGGGTTTACGTGAGTGCAGTGAACAGGAAGTGTTTGTGGAGAAACAGTTTTGCGAGAGAACGCAAAACATCTTTGCGAGGGAACGCAAAACATCTTTGCGAGATAACGCAAAACATCTTTGCGAGGGAACGCAAAACTTTGCGAGAGAACGCAAAAAACTTAGAAATATATATTTTCCTCCCACCCATTTTTTTTCTTTCACCCATTATTTTTTTTTCACCCACCCATTTTTTTTCTCCTCCACTACGTCCCTTCCGGGGTTCCGTAGATATGCGCATACGTTTTTTAGGATTTATTTTATTTTTTTTATTTATGCGCATTATGGCGTTTCCATCAACCATTTTTTATGCGCTTATCCAAAATGTGCATAAAAATAGATGGATGGAAACATCTATAGAAACAGCTATCGGCAGTCATGTAATCGATTTCTGATGTGCTTTTTAAAGCCAATGTTAGACATCTATTTGATGTCGTTTTGACATCAAGGTAGTTTACATGCATTGTAGGGATACAAAATCCAGTGTAAATTTGTAATTGAGAAGAACAAAACTTTTCTTATATTATAATACTTTTCGTGTGCCTTGATTTTGGTGGTCAAAAGAGCATCACTGTGTGGATGTCAAATGGATGTCAAGGATTTGACATCTAATTTCCATTTTGACATGTTTTTTTTATGTCAAAGTGAATTTCATTTTGACATCAACTGAATTGCATGTGATCTTTCTTGTATTTGTTAGGACTATGAATTGATTCATTATTCCTTTCCTACATCTGCAAATGACGGACAATGTATTGATGTATGTATTGATTCTCATACACAGCTGACAGAAAAGCAGGAGTTTTGTCATGTAGAGCCAGTCTAAAACCTAAGCTCATATGAGCTTAAACATTACTTTTTTCCAGCCATGCAAAAAAACTCTATTTTATATCTTAGAAAATGCTCATTTAGTTCCTATAAAACTTGTCTGTAAAACATCCCAGCCAGTACGTTGATTTCAACATGACATCAGATTGAAGTTGTACCCCAACATTGTGGCATTGTTTTGGTTTTGGTTGCCTTACCTGACGAATAAGTCAGTTTTTGACAATAATATGATGTTAGTTTAAGAAGTTTGCTTAACGTTGGATTTTGGTCACTTTCCAACACAGCCTAAAATCATCCAAATATCACATTGTTATTGGACGTCAAAATAACATTGTACCTAGATGCTGGTGACCTAAATGTAACATAATATTAACGTTTTACGACAATTTGTGTTCGCTTGGATTTCTGTGGTTTTACACATCATTGTTTTTTCCTCTCTAATATATGTTTACTCACTTTTGCTCTTGTTTTCTTTCCTCTAGTTGGCTCTAGGACAAGAAGAAACCCACTCGTCATCATCTTCCTTCACCTCCTCCACGTCAAAGTCGTCCTCTCCAGCAGACTCCTCCAAAACTCTGGGGGTTCTGGGATCTCAGGGTTCGATTTCTCCTCTGAGCCGCTGGATGATGCACAGCCGTGGCCGTGCTGCCAACACTTCAACGATGGAGCTGCCCTACCGCTCGCCGGTGCCCTTTTCCAAACAGGAATTTTGGGAAATGCTGGGTAGCGACCTTCTCAAGTCGGACACTGACGCATTAGGGAACTCCCGAGTCAAGCGCCGTCCCCCGATTGTCAAAACGGGCAAATTTAAGAAGATGTTCGGGTGGGGGGACTTCTACTCCAACATCAAGACTGTGCGCCTTAACCTGCTCATCACGGGTAAGATTGTGGATCACGGGAACGGCACTTTTAGTGTGTATTTCCGTCACAATTCCACCGGCCAGGGGAACATCTCCGTCAGCCTGGTACCACCAGTGAAGGCTGTAGAGTTCGACTTGGAGCGCCAGAGTGTGGTTTACCCTAAAGACTCAAAGATCTTCAACTGCCGCATAGACTACGAAAAGGTTGACCGCAGCAAACGCACCTCGCTCTGCAACTATGACCCCTCCAAGACCTGCTTCCAGGAGCAGACACAAAGCCACGTCTCCTGGATCTGCTCCAAACCCTTTAAGGTCATTTGTATTTACATTTCATTCTACAGCACAGACTACAGACTGGTGCAGAAGGTCTGTCCAGACTATAATTACCATAACGAGATGCCCTACCTACCTTCAGGGTAGAGCTGCGGGGAGTAATGGACTAGAAGGACAACGAGGGAAGTTAGGGGGGGAGAAGTCAACAATTTGAGGGATTGGTTCGATTATGGATGTGAAGATCAATGAGAAATGCTCATTGGGAGAAGGGTTTCGAAGGATGTAGTTGTCCTAATCTAAAGACTTTTCAGAGACATATAACTGAGCTATTATGGGACACCCCCTCTTGACCCGAATATCACAGGTTGTTCCCTAAAACGTGAATGTACAGTATTTGATGTGCTGCAGTTGATGTCTTGAGGAACCTCTAAAGCATCCTGGCAAATGTGACCTGCTAAAACACATATATGCAAAACCAAATGGTCAGGCCCAGGTGCTCAGGGTGGGAGTGTCCGCTACATCAGTTTGAGTCCCTAATTGGCTGCGCTCATTAGTGCACAGTGTCTTCTAATCAATAGATAAGAATAACAAAATAAGAGTGCCTGATTGGCTATGCTCACCTCAGGTGTAATTACACTAATGCATTTTTATTTTAAATAAAAGGATTTAGAACAGTGCTTCTCAACCATGTTCCTGGAGGCTCACCAACACTGCATGTTTTGGATGTCTTCATGGTCTGTTACACCCATTAAAGGTTGTTCAGTCTAATGAGCTGATGATCTGAATCAGGTGTGTTTAGTTAAAGAGACATGGAAAATGTGCAGAGCTGGTAATCCTCCAGGAACGTGGTTGAGAAACACTGCTGTAGAATCCTCGTCCAGACTGGTGTTTTATTGCATTTCAGAAAAACAATATCTGTCTACACTGTACAGTCTAATACACATGAAGCTTGACCATTCACGCTCACTTGGCATGCACATATTTTGCCAGTCTCCATTCTTACAGGCTACTGTTCCTGTAATAGTCATATGAGACGGGCTTAATGAATCAGGGAATGATACGCAGTAGTCCAAAACACCAGTCTGAGAGTGAGTGGATAGAAAATTTCGGGTTTTAGTCCATCGGACACACCAGTGTTTTTAAACTAATACGGGGTCTGCAGTGTTCTCTGTTTTCACAAATCTCAAAAATACAAGCCAAGAGTCAAACCATATCAAAACATATGCATTTTACAACAAAAACGCATTAGTGTAAACAGCACCTCAGTGTCCTGTGGGACATTCTTGGAATTAAAGCTGCTATGCAGAGGTGGAAATGTTGCTGGTTTGCTGTACACTCTTAGAAATGAGGTTTGTAGCAACCTTTGAATTGCAAAGGTTCTTTGTAGAAGAACCAAAAATATTGGTTCTATAGGAACCAATAGCTTTATAAAGCATTTTAACAACTGTAGCTTATTGTTTTTTTGCCAAAAAGAAACACATTAACTTGCATAAAAGAACAAAAGATATTAAAACGCAACATGCCTCATTAGCTATATTTCCATCCACTTATTCTTATGCACATTTTGAATATGTGCACAAAAAAGCGGTTGATGGAAACGCCAAAATGCACATCCATTTTGAAAATCCGCATAAAAAATGTATGTGCATAATAGAGTGAGATAAAATTTTCATTCGATAAGAAAAGATGCGCATAGACTACGATGGAAACTTTTTTACTGAACAAATTCCAGTATGTGCGTTATTGTAATAATAATAATATAAGAAATATAAATTGTGATTTTCTTATAAGAGTTCATGTGATGATAAAAATGTGAGTGCATGGAAAAACTAGCAGGCCAAGCACATTGTAAAACTTCGGAAATGTTGTTTTGGTCATTCTAAGATGCCTGAACTGTTTCAGTATTAGTGCTATTATATTATTATTGACCTCCAGAATAGTCAGGAGCATCTGTGCTCCCTGTCTCACTCCTTCAAACACCACCATGCGTTCATTGCTTTTCGGCATTTGTCTTCTGAGGTGAAAGTAATTTATTAAATTAATGAAAGATTCACGCAGTTTCTCCTACAGCAACAAATTACGTTTTCACTTTTGATATTTGGCACAGTTAATCAGGAAGTGACGATTTTGTTCTTTTTGACTTATTGGGTGGAAAAGCTGCATAACTGTTATATGACATTCCTGCTTTGTGCATTTATTTAATTCACATCTTTCAATTTAGACATAGCTATTCATGTAATAAAACCGCCTCTGTACTGTATATTAAAAAAGTAGACTAAAACACCAATGCTAAAGGTGCAGAATTCCTATTTCAGATTTCACAGAAAGATTAAATCCTCCCTAATATCACGGAGAAAGACAAAAACCACTTTAATTAAAATACAACACAGAAAAAGAGATGTTGATTCTGCATCGAGCCCGATCTCTCTATTGTTCTGACTGTAACAGAAGAGCAGAAAAGACGTTTTGTTTGGTCAGGAATCCTGACTTTGTGCTGTGATAACTGTTCTGCTGATAGCATGGTTGCTTCGTCCTTGCATAAGCATTCCCTCAGAGTCAGCCAGTTTACAGCTAAGAAGAAAAAATAGAAAAACATTATTATGTTAATTTTGCATAATCACACTGCTAAATGGGAAAGCTTACAGCACATTCTGAGCCACCTGGCTGAGGTCTTTTCCGGATGTAAGATCATGAGAACAACATTCAAACTGACCTTCACTGAACATATCATTTAATGATAGATATTGTTCAGGGGAAATCATTAGTATAAAATTCAAGTGGATTTAAACAAAACACAACCTTTTATGTATCAAGCCAAATCAATTGTGAATCTAAAAAAAAAAAAAAAAAGCAAGGGAACTGACGTCAACGAAACAAAGTAAGAGAAAAGTCAGAAAGCATGAGTGGAAGGTAAAAGACAGAGTAGGAGTTGTGACGTCTGCAGTGACGAGCGGTGTACACGTACATGACAGAGCAAAATAAGAAAAAAGAGGATTTAAAAGGGGGGAAAGGGTGATGCATAACATGGAGATGGATTGGGAACAAACGAATGAGAAAGGGACATAATGAATATAGAGAAGGGGAAATGGAGAGTGAGTCGTGAAAAAAGGGACTAAAAAACAAACTCAGGATGCTAAATAGAGTAACATAAAAGCACAATATGGAACATCAAAGTGTCGTCGCACCAAGAGAGTTGGGGGGAAGAAGCTTTTTATAAGCACACGAAGAAAAGAAAACAGTCTTTGCCTGAAGTTAAATTCAGTACGGTGAATATATATCCCTGTGGCTTCACAATTTAGAGGTGCGAAGACTGAAACATCCTTCCAGATAGATCGGCTTTTTCATGTTCTTAAAAGATCTATTTATCTCCCTTTAATCGGAAATGTATTATTTGATATACAGGCAAAATTGGTATCCTGTGTAATGCTGTCATTGTGTTCAGGGTTCTTATGCTAATTCAAGAACTTCAAAATGTAAGCGGGGGGTCATCTGAAAACTCATATCATCTCATCAACACTGGTTTTAATGTCCTGGCAAAGAAGCTTGAAATACATTTTCAAAAAGTATTGCTCTGTTTAGAGAAGAACCAGTAGAGAAACGGATTATATTAGGCATCATAACATAGCAAAAAAACCTTATGTAGTGCATCCAGAAAGTATTCATATCGCTTCACTTTTTCCACATTTTTTTTTATGTTACAGCCTTAATGCAAAATGCATTAAATTCCTTTATTTCCTCAAACTTCTACACACAATACCCCATAATGACAATGTGAAAAAAGATCTTTTGAAATTGTTGGTAATTTACTCAAAATAAAAACCTGAAAAATCACATGTACATCAGTATTCACAGCCTTTGCTCATTACTTTGTTGATGCACCGTTGGCAGCAATTACAGCCTCAAGTCTTTTTGAATATGATGCCACAAGCTTGGCACACCTGTCTTTGGGAATGTTTGCCCATTCCTCTTTGCGGTATCCCTCAGGCTCTATCAAGTTGGATGGGAAGCGACGTTGTACAGCCATTTTCAGATCTCTCCAGAGATGTAGGTTTGGGCTCTAGCTGGGCCACTCAAGGACATTCACCGAGTTGTTGTGAAGACAATCCATTGATCTTTTGGTGGTGTGCTTTGGGTCATTGTCCTGCTGGAAGATGAACTGAAGATGAAGCACTCTGAAGCTGATTTTCAATCAGGATGTCTCTGTACATTGCTGCATTCATCTTTGCTTCTATCCTGACTAGTCTTCCGGGTTCTTCTGCTGAAAACATCAGCATGATGCTGCCTGGTGATGAGCGGTGCCTGGTTTTCTCAAAGTGCAACGCCTGGCATTCATTCCAAAGAGTTCAATTTTAGTCTCATCAGACCAGAGAATTTAGTTTCTTATGGTCTGAGAGTCCTTCAGATACTTTTTGGCAAATTCCAGGCGAGGGGCGGCTTCCGTCTGGCCACTCTACTATACAGGCTTGATTGCTGGATTGCTGCACAGATGGTTTTCCTTCTGTAAGGTTCTCCTCTCTCCACAGACGAATGCTGGATTTCAGACAGAGTGATCATCAGGTTATTGAACACCTCCCTAAGGCCCTTCTCGCCGATCACTCAGCTTAGATGGCAGGCCAGCTCTAGAAAGAGTCCTGGTGGTTCGAAACATCTAGCACTTATGGATGATGGAGGCCACTGTGCTAATTGGAACGTTCAGAGTGGCAGACATTTTTCTGTAACCTTCCCCAGCCATGTGCCTCGAGACAATCTCGGAGGTCTACAGACAATTTCTTTGTCTCATGCTTGGTTTGTGCTTTGTCATGCACTGTCAACCCTGGGACCTTATATAGACAGGTTTAAGCATTTTCAAATCATGTCCAATCAACTGAATTTACCACAGGTGAACTCCAATTAACCTGCTGAAACATTTCAAGAATGGTCAGTGGAAACAAAATGTACCTCAGCTCAATTTAGAGCTTCACAGAGAATGCCTTTTTTTTTTTTTAATTGCAACAATTTCAAAAACTCCTTTTTTTACATTGTCATTAAGTGGTATTAGATGTACAATTTTGAGAAAATGTATGAATTTAATCCATTTTGGAATAAGGCTGTAACATAAAAAATTGTGGAAAAAGTGAAGCGCTATGAATACATTCACTGTATTAGAAATGCACTGTAAAAGGAATTATTATATTAGACATCGCACTAAGGCATCATTTTATATAAAAAAAAACACTATACTTAAAGGGATAGTTCACCCAATTATGAAAATTCTGTTTACTTCCACTTCAAATATCACAAACTTGTTTGACTTTCTTTCTTCTAGTCAACAGAAAAGAAAAAGTTATGTAGAATATTGGAAACCAATACCCATTGACTTCCAGTACACTGTAAAAAATATCCATATTTAGTGATTGACAAGGTTTTTTATGTTAATTTATGATTTTGAATTGCATTATGGTACCTTGATGTCTGCTCTGTCAACTTTTAATTTTGTAAATTCAACTCTACAGTTGATCAAAGTGACTTATAATGTGAAATATGTAAAAGTAATAATAAATAGAGAAATAAGTATCTGTAAAATCTGTATAATCTGTAAAACAACAGAAAACTTACTTCTGTCTATTATAAGGTTTTTGTACCATAATATATAATGCCAACTTAGACAATATATTGCATTAAACTAGAGATGCATGAACTATGGCCCGGGGGCCAAAGTTGGCCCATGGTAATCTTTGTTTTGGCTCGTCATCCCATATGAGAAAAGAGAGAGAAGGATGGGGATGGTTTTGAGATTGTCGACTCAAATGTAATGTGAGCCTGTGTTTGTTTTACTGTTAAAAAAAACAAACTGAAATTAAATGTTTCAATTAAATTGTGTAAATTAATAAGATTTTGTTTAATTGTACATACTATCAGCCGACAATGCAGAGACTTTAGTGACAAATCACGTCAAAGGCAGATTCTGGTTGACTAGTGTATTCAGCATCGAACTCCATGTTATAAATAATTGTTTATGTTTTATTGCAATAAGTTTTAATTGAAAAAAACGTTATACTGCATTAGTTAATATGATTTAAAGAAATGTTTTCAATTTATTTAGAAATGTTATTAAATAAATTAGGAAATTACCAATTGCAACTTCGGTCCACGGCTCTCAATACTATTTGGTTTTTGGCCCTTCGTAAAAGTTTGGCCACGCCTGCTTTAAACTATTAAAAGTGTTAATAAGCCACTTTTTTGAACTTTTCAAGTTTAAACGTTATTGAAAGAAAGATCATATAAATGAGGGGGGAATTAAAATGTAAATTAAATGTGAATCACAAAATACAGAAAACAGCTAATTTATGGATATTTTTTCAATGTATCTGTTTTTCCTACTATGAATTTCCAACATTCTTCAAAAATGTTCATATTTAGGTGAACTACTATAAATGTCTTTTTCAGTCAGAATACCCACATATTTTAAAGTTTATCACTTGAAAAGCCACAATCTATACTTAGGCTTGATTAGCATCTTGGACGCAAGTGATTATTTAAACTAAATCAGAGGACAAACTTTAGACACATCAGGTGAAAGACCATATTCAGCTTTAGACATGTCTCTCATTCTCTATTCTCCAACCCAGCTTATTCATTCATTCATTTTCTTTTCGGCTTTGTCCCTTTATTAATCAGGGAATGAACCGCCAACACTGGGAAACACCCATACACACTCATTTACATACACGCATACACTACGAACAATTTTAGTTTACCCAATTCATCTATAGTGCATTACTTTGGACTGTGGGGGAAATCGGAGCACCCAGAGAAAATTCACACTAACAAAGGGAGAACATGCAAACACCACACAGAAATGCTAACTGACCCAGCCGGGGCTCGAACCAATGACTTCCTGCTGTGAGGTGATCGTGCTATGCACTGCGCCAGTGTAACGCCCCCTTATATTATCAATTTTTAATATCAATCAGTTCATTCATTTTTGTAGCCTAGAATGGCTAAAGCAGGTAGCAGACGAATCAGCCGTGACTCCTGTAACAGGCCTGCATCTGATCTTTTGTAATTGAACGTTTGATCCGCACTGTGACGCTTTGATCTGTCTCTTTTGCGTCCTAAACGCGCAACCACGCTGAAATGTTTGGTCAGTCCAGTCATAACAAATTTGCCTCAGTCTGCTGTAATTCTCAGGGCAGACATGTGAAAATACAACACCTCTGCGAGTGCTCCAGGCTTTGCCCAGTGCAGCATGTCTGCTCTGCCCTGCTGGTGAACTGAGCGCTGGGGCTCACAGCTCTCTGCTCTCTTCTCCCTCAGGCGCTGCTCTGGACTGAGCTTCCTAATCTCCTGCAGCTTAACTACACCACCGCCTGCACAGAAGCGCGCACACATACACACACAAGCTCTTGTAATGGTGTAACTTAACGGAATCTTTCATTTTTCTTTTTTGTTTCTTGGTCAGCTTCATTTATTTGTTTCTAGTTTTCAATTCCACATGTTTGTGCGTTCATTTGTGCATTTGTTTCTACATTCATTCATTTTTAAATCTATTTTTCCATTAATATCATCCATTCAGTTTGATTTTTGTCATATTTTTTCCACCTGTTGTTTTGTTTATTTCCTTTGTTTATTTTCTTTTTTTTCCATTAGTTCGTTTTTTTAACCGTCCTTGTTTTTTTTTTTTGCTCCTGTTAAGTCTTACTTCCTTCATTTCTGTCTTGACAGCCAGTTGGAATGTTATCCCTCGATTGATTGGGCGTTATCAGTTGTTGTCAGCTGATAGATATGGGTCAGTAGGGGCCTTCTGGGCTTACTGGTTCGCTCAGAAGGCTGTTATCATCCATCCACATGGTTAATCAACTATAGATCACATATGGCTGTGG